TATGAAGTATACACAAAGAGAGAAATTGCATTCGTGTAACGAGCTGGCTTCTAACCAAGAGATAATAATTATTATACAGACTCCACTTTGTATTTTACATTTCATTGGAAATTGATTTTCTCATTTCTCTCTCTTTTTTCTCTCTATAATCTCCCTGTCCAATGCAGCATCATCCATATTTCTCTTGATGCATTTATCTGTTTTAGAATTCTGGACGAATCCCAATAATGCCATCTGGTAGAATCAGGTTTTTGGATAAAGGATAAAATCGTACTGTACAATGGTTGGATGTCTGCCTGCAATTACGGGGCATCAACGGGTGCCGAGTTTAATCCGAAAATGCAGAAGTTGAGATAAAGTATGGCCGCTCCAAGGAGAATAAAGGACATGGCATGTATATATATATATATATTAATACAGTAAATCTGGCATAAAGGAAAGAATGGCTGCACCTTACAAAAGTAGAGAAATAGATAAGATCTGTATCTGCAAAGAAAAGATGAAGTCATCTCTGTCCTTGACGCCATTGTTTTTCTCATGACAAATCCCCAAACCCAAAGGCTTTTCATTGTACTAGTATCACACACAGTTTATAAAGTACATTATAGATATACAAAGCTGTCTGTTATTTTTTAAGGATCAAATAAACCATCACCGATCCTGTACTTATTGAGGTTACGAGTTTCACAGAAATCGCCAGGTATCCAAATTTCCTTGTAATTATTCAAAAGCCAAACCAGCCTCAATTTTTCTTTATATACATCTTCACGATACCAGTCCACTAGATTCAAAGAGGTCCAACGCAGCTATACCGACACCAAAAGAAATAATCAAGAAAGTCAAAGTTTTGTCAGAAAAATGAGAAGCTTATTAACTAAAATCAGCAGCAGCAGGATCAACCTCCAGTTTCACGACTCGCTCGAAACTTCATCCGCTGACGAGGTTTCCATCTCCAGGTACAGGAAGTTGGCTAACTCATGGAGTACCCTTTACACAAGCAGCGTGGTTTCTCACTCGAGAAACAGAGAATTTCCTCAAGTCACAGGTCAAAAAGATAAAGTTCTATGGATAATAAAAAAATCCAAGTATCCTGAACTCAGTGCAATCATAATATAAGAACGAAGGTGAAGTGCTGATAGGAGATCCTGGCAATTTTAATTTACAGCTTGTTATAGGATATCGCGTGATATACTCTTCCGAGCGATTGGAACTCGTAGAGCGTGCTCGAGGACTGGCAGACTCCTAGGGAATACACAATCTATATGTATAGTCATGTACAGTGTTTGCGTTTCCTTTAGACTGGGTAAGATCCTGAGGTGGGGAACTGGTTCCCCAGTTCAAGGGATGGGATGGACCGGTGCCAAGACGCTTCGAGATCCATATATACCCACCCTTCGAAGAAGAGGGTAGAGGTGGGAAGGGGGAGGGTGGTAGCTAGCTACCTTTTTGGGGTACGTGACGTCAGTGGACTCTTGTGGGGTTTGGGTAGGTGGTTTTCGAAAGGGGAAGAATCTGCGGAATGAGGGAAAAGAAGAGTTTTGCAAGTGTACGTGTATATACAGTATGCCGGAGATAGTGTACTGTAGCGATGAAAATTGGAGGGTTGGTAACCACTGATACTCAAGGATCTATACTCCGCTTATACCTAGGAAGCGTGAGGCCGCACACAGGACCTTCCCTACCTTCTACGTTGACTTTGCTTCACCAGGATCGGAATGGGACCCATTGCTTGGCGAGGAAGGACGGGAATGGTATGGGAAGCCGAGATTCCCCAGGACTGGGTGGGATACCACCGCGGAGTTGAAAGTTAAATTAGTTCAAGTCTAATAGAAAGTGAGATCATTTGTAAAATTGCCCAAGCTTATTTTCCATGCCCGTGGCCAACTTCAGTTTGAATATTCTCGAATTTTCCGGTTACGCTTATGAATTAAGTTAGCACCTTCCTCCTTGGACAGCCGACCCAGGATTCTATCGTGATGTGCACCGACGTACCTTATGTCTGGTATATATCTATAGATTGAGAAAGTGAAATTATTTTACCAGCGCATAAATCGATGAGCTCGAATCTTCTAGAATCGTCGTCCATAACCTAAAAAGTGTCGAAATCGAGGACGAAGCACGATTGAATGAAAGACACAAATGAAAAAAAAAAGAATGATCTAGTTCTTTTGAAAGCATCGAAACAAATTCCCCAGTGAATCTAGTTCCTTTTTTCTTTATTTCGATCCGTCAAAAAATTCCAGCAGTTTTATTAAAGCTTTACGACTATGCTCGTAAACGAGTCATCTCACGTTGTGAAATAATTTTACTTTGGTTCCATGTGACCTCGTTATATTTATAACACGTCTATGTAACGCAAACACTGCATGTGTTATAATTCTAAAAAAAAAAAAAAAATTGCAGGACTTCATTCAAATCCAGTAAGGTGGATGTCCCAGTCATTGACCAGTATACCAATAATCGACAAGTATGTGCTTTGACTGTAGTAAAATCTACAGTATTACAAGACAACTGTCGATTACGCTTTATACCCAATAGGCCAGGAAAGTCAGGAAAAGTGAATGAAGGCGTTAATAATACCTTATGGGCCAGTTCTCAATGCAGACTGAATTCCTTGAGGATTTTCCAAGTCTCGATCATCCTCCGCAGATTCTAAAGCTACGTTCACACGTAGATAAATATTCGAAATTTATTGGTGGATATCTGTCACGTGGAAACGTGTCTGCTTCTGCTGCTGCTAGTCAGACGGCTGCAGCGTGTCGAATTACCGTCTAAAAAGTGTTCCACAAACATATGGCTACTTCCTGAAGTTGCCACTTCAGCATCCACGTAATGTATCTGTATGCGTGTATATATTAGCAACGTTAGAAAGACTTACTCTCATTCCTCAGGATTCTACCAATGCACCAGTGCACCAGTGAAGTCGTCAAGGAGCTCTGAAGGACCTCTCGGAGTCGAGACACTCGCAAACTTTCAAACGGGTGAAAGTTCTTCACCTCGCGTATGCGTCTTCTGCTCGACTGCTAAGTAGAGAGACGGATTCGAGTGGGCCAGACGGAGCAATGAAGAAAATATTGCTACTAAGTACCCACCCTTACCATCTGATAGCTTGACTTAAGAGGTCACGTGACTAATTGTGGAAAAGTCTAGAATTATTATTGATGCCATTTCAAAAGACTAATTAGGCGTCCGTGTCATCAGATTACAAAGTTTTATTTCGTCTTTGACGAAGGTGCTTGAGACAATGAACGGTTAGAATATGGACAATTCTATGAGGGATGGTTTCTATTAATGTGCTGTTTTCCTTTCGAGAAGACGTGAAAGGTAAAATAAAAGTGGAAAGGAGAAAAAGAGTAAAATTTTCATGAAAAATAAGTGAAAAAGAAGTACAGTGGAAAATGGCTTGTCGCGGTCGGTTCTCAGAGGGATGAAATACAAGACGGTATGTGTGAAAAGGATAGGGGTAAATAGGGACGCCAACAGAAGAAACATGTGTTCTTGTATATGAAAAAAAAAGAATCCTTTTTCTTCTTCATTTCATTCTACACGCGGCACTTTTTACACGACAATATATATATATATATATGAATAAAATTGTATACCGTAGTCACGACATGGAAGGCACAAAAGTTCTGGCTGTAATATTCAACGTTAGAATCCTACGAATTTCAACAACGTCGACTGCAACGTCGACTCGGAATATTTTCAGAATTTTTGTGAGAGGGAACTGCGAAGAAGAAAAAAAAATAAAGAAAAAAAATTAACTAACCACCCTTTTGGACAATTCCCATCCAGCCACGTTCCGTGCGATAATAGAGATTTGCTGGATTCACGGTGCTTTCTGCGACTCTACAATGCCACCAGAGAAATTCCTTGCCAAGACTGATTCTTTATATATATATATATATATATATATATATATATATTCTCTCTCTCTTTCTTCTATCTTCCTGGTTCTCTCTCTCTCTCTTCTTATTCCCAGAGACCAAAATGCTATCGCGCTTCGGCTTGGCGCTGTCCACACTTGGCACGTTACGCTTTCGGACAAATAAAAAAAAAAACGATATAACTAAAGTCACGTCTGACTCCTCCAGCTTCAACTAACCTGCCTTAATTATTCAGCACAGTGTCTTCCCGTAAATTCATTACGCTCGACTTGTTAGATCTTTTTGCGATGCCCTTTTCATAGCCTGTCAACTACTCGGCCTTACAAACGTTAACCCTCTAACGTTGTAACGCGACGTCGTAGCAGAACGTACGTGCAGAGACCTTTTACGGCCGAGCCAAGAATATACGAGATTCGGATTCCTAGACGTGAACCTAGAAACGCGCGTATGCTGACCTTACCGCAATTTATTTTACACTTTCTGCCACGTGATACGGAAACCTTATCATCCCATGGTATACCGTACGCCATCTAGGTTATAATATAGGAAGGGAAGGTATCCCTTCTGGCTATCTTAACACATTCGAGGATAATTAAGGTTGAACGCACGTGGAGCAAGGACCATCGTTCTCTCTCTCTCTCTCTATATATATATATATATATATATATATTCTTCTATATACCTTTATATATTAGGTAACGGATACCTAGTTACTCAGTTACATACCTTAGCTACCTGCCTAATAGATGGCGACACTGTCTTCTGCTACTTCGTCTTCTACACTACTCAATTCCTTACTCGAAGACTATTACGAATCCCACCGCGTTCTTGGCGAGTCTCTCGCCGATTTAAAAGATTTATTATCCAACGCCAATTTCGTTCTCGTACCCGATACCCATTCTGGATTTATTAACAGAGCGTGCAGCGTTGCAACGATATCCCAGATTTTCGGTAGACATAACATCGCGTTCCGTACTTCATGAGCCGCGTATATCATCGAATCAAAAATCGTCAAACACGTCGTACGGACAATTTTACTGGCGTGGCCGACAGCTGCAATATATCGATAAAGAGAAATGAGTATCGGGTAACGGAGAAGGAGAGAGAGGAGAGGAGAGAAAAAATGGCGGATTGCTGACTACCTTCATATTCCCTACGTCAGGGAGATTGACGCGGGACATTCTTTATAGTAATAAAGTGGCATCGGTGACGGAAGACGAACGATGCACCCTGGATAATAACAGGGGCGTGATTAATTACTCGATTTTACCGAAATGCTGACTAAACGCCCTTCCCATATACCTGGCTTGGTACGTTGACGAACCTTAGATTAATAATCAACTGCTGGTGAGAGGTAGTCTAGAAGATACTTCTAAAGCCACGGCGTGTTTTCATGCGGCTGTCAACTTGCTTTAATTTAGGTTATTTTTGTCCAATTTCTTTTCTTTATTTTCCCTTTCTTATACTCTAGCAGCGGAAACATCCTCGTGAGCCACTGTCGAAAATTCATTTCCGCTGCAGTCTAAATCGCTCTTGACCCGGTATGCCCGATCGACTGCTCCCACGGGAGCTCTGAAAGGATCTTCACAGTCACTTCCGTTTTCCCCTTCCTCCACTTCTATTTTACACTTCAACACTCTTCTAAATCACCAGACCCTTACTTGGTTGCTGATTCGTCAAAAGCGAATAGAAATATTTTAATTCACTGTCACTGTCCTGTGTAAAAGGAGCATTTGTGTATATATATCAACATAAATCTGTGTCTAGCAATCTGTATCTTGATCTATATATAAATATACAGCTCTGCCTACCTTACTGGAGAGTGAAAAGAAATAAAAGTACAGGAGTAAAAGAAGTTTTCTATGAAGAGTCCTCAGTCTCGTATGTTCTTATTAACCTGCTCGGTTTGGCCTCAAAAGGGTTGAGCGTTCATTCGGGACGAAATATTTTGACGAGAAGCTACCAAAAGTACGAAGAAATTAATAATATAAATTTTTCAGAAACGAAGTAACTCTGCAGCCGCCAAATGCTCTTTTAATCTCACCCAGCGTTACGGCGAGTTATTATCGAGAATCGCTGTGAAATGAGGGTAAGCCTGGAAATATTACAAAAAGGAGAAAAAAAAAGTACCCACACCACAGACTCCCGGCATTCCATTGTCTTACCGGGAGAGCAGAACCCTCGTGCCGTAACGGCAATGGACGGAAGTGAACTTGGAAAAGAATGAGCTCGCAAAATAAAAAAAAAAGAGAAAAGGAAAAAGGGATCAACCGCCCTACCACCTATCCAGTCAGACCTCCCACCTACACCGTAAAGCTCGAAAGCAAAAAATCGTGGGTTCAGGGAAAAAAGAGAAAGATACAAAATAGAGGAAATGAAAAAAAAAGTGAACATTCTCTTTTTCAAATAGGTACTACACATTCTACTAAATTCATAGTTCAAGCGGTTTGAACATTGAATTTTATTACTCATGTGCTCTTATCCGTGAAAATTAGAAAAATTCTCATACAGTTGTTTCCAAATTTTCTGCATCTCTCATACGCAGTTTTGTTTTTAAAGATACACTGCACTGATAATTTGTTTCCTATCACCGGATGCATCCTGCTCTTAGGATTCTGCACGCATGCGTCTGCGGACACCTGTTCGACGTGTGCGAAATGCGAAACAGCTAAAATAACGTCGTCGGATTCTCGTCTCACGTAGAGACTCGTTTGGCAAAACGAGTATCGGAAATGGGACGAATAGCATAGTCACCAGTTAGTTATGTAAGACTTTACCTGCGTTGACGTCGTCCCAGCATCTCAAGTTAAAAAAGTAACCTAGAAACCCTCGGGCAACCCTGGATAATACATTATAACATAGAAGTGTCCCGAATTTACATCATCCAAAACGTGCTGGCATGTTGTCTCAAAAGTAAAACAATTTCGTGCAATCATACTGGCTGTTCTAATCCAGTAAAAATGTCCGAGTAATTTCATTTGAGACAGAATATCCGTAACTCAGAGAAGAAAGAAAACTAAAAGGAAAAGAGAAAAACCTAACCTACAATTTTAACATGATATCACTTAGCAAAGTGGCACTCGTATTCGTATACATACCTAACCTCCAATGGATTAATTACCATTTATCACTAAATTCCAGCGACGTATTCGACGATCGCACAGTCAATAAAACTTCATCACCGTGCACGTTAAATCGTTACTCGAAAACGACACAAGAAACAATAAGCAGACGTCAGTTGTGTTGTATAAGAGAGAAAATCCTTTTTCCAATTGTGAAAGTGGCTAAACTGATGTTCTCCTTAATAAGATTAATGGAAGAATAGGTTATAGCAGAGAAAGATAAACCGAGGATAAGAAAACACGAGACGAAGTGACAGCTGCTGTCGGAAAGGTAAGAAAGAAGCTCGCAGGGTCGCAACCGAATAAACACTAAACTCTAGAGGGAGACTTCTCATCGCAGAGTAAAGTGGGACCTACCTAAGATATTTCCCGGCCGTCTTAGTTTCAGTTTCGCAGCATCTTCCGTATATACATATGGATGTATATAAATATAATGAAGTACGATGGCGTGTAGTAGTGAATTAGCATAGCGTTGGAAAATTATTTCTGGTCGTCGTGCAGAGTCGCCGTCTTTCGAAGAAGTCCGCGTCCCGGCGCGGAACATTGCGTTACGAAAATAGAACCTTAAATTACGTTGCGTTCCTTGCCCTTTATTTTTTAGCCATATTGAATCTCATTCGCAGTGTGTATCAACCTTAAAAAAAAAAGACAGTGAACAGAGCATTTTGTACCTGTAGATACTTCTTAAATATTTTTTTTTATATAAACCTTGCGAAGTCTGGTTGTTCGTAGATACGAGGTTAACGAGATTCTTGAATCGATCTGTTGAATTATTTGTGGAAATATATTTAACGGGGTTAAGGTATACATTCAGCCGTGTGTACGGTAATAGGATGATGGTAATGGGGCTGATAGCTGGTGGTATAAAAACACACGTTTCGTGGTTAGGACGCTATTTGTAATGGCTAACTGGAAACGAAGCTCAAATATTCGGCAGAGATACCTACTAAGATCGTCCGTATGTATGCCAATATTTATTTGACTTTAAAATCATGGCGGCACAGTGGGTCAATAGGTATGAGTTCATAGATTTTTAACCAGTAGATTGTTTTGACAGCAGACGTATCTGGTTTAATATGTACGGTGAAAGATTTGCAGATCTTCCTGACGAAGGTCAGCCAAACGTTTCGGAAGTGCTCCTGGTACTAGGCAATGACTTTGGCCAAACGGTATCGTCAGGTATCATGAATGGTCCATGTGTACCATTCAGCCGAGAAACGCATCCCCGGGTCAAAGATCGATGCCTGGCGGTGTCAGGGTGTGCGATACAGGATGTATAAGGTGTCTTCCAGGTGAGGGTTGAGTTTCCATGGTAACCAAGCTTGGTGCCCTGGCTCCTAGGTCAGGGCCACTGCCCCATACTCTTTACCCTCATGTGCAATAGCTTATAACAGGTGTGTCTTCTATTTACTATACTACATGCATGCTTGTATCTCTTATTTACTCTCTCTCTCCTCTCTTTCAGTCCCTACTCCTTCGCAGACCTACTTGGCCCTTATGTTTCTTCTTTCTGTGGCAGCGTACAACTGAACTCTTACTCTACTTTTCAGCATCCCTAGGGCATAATAAATTCTCTGTATTGAGATCCCTCACCAGGAACACTTTCCAAGGGACTTCAACACCTGTCACCTGATTTTCTTACTAAGGATGGATAACCTCACGTTCAGGATACATAGGTAATGCAGTATCCAGATGCAATCAGATGTGTGGTTAGAAAATCTGATTTTCTTTGTTTCAGCATCTCTACTTGATCTTGGGGGTTGAAAACGTTCAAGGAAAAGGACCGTCGGTAGCTTTAACTCCCAAGTGAGATGCGTGCCGCGTTAGGGGATCGATAACGTAGCTACCCTTACGCAGCCTCTCACTCTGTCCGCTCGTTCGTTCTCTCTCGTCTTTCTCTCCACGTGTATCAACCGTCTTTCTCTTTCTTCATCTCTTCGTCTTTCTTGCTCTGCTAAAATGTGAACGGTCCAAGTTGCGTCCCGGGACCTTCGACGCTCTCCGTACTTCATCCTATGTAAAAGGTTGGTATAAGGTGGGATACGTATGTATATAATTGGTAGCTTTCAGAAAATCCTCAGACTATGTCGACGAGATGGAATTGCAAGGGATGCTGCATATTTAATAGGACGACCATATAAAGCCGTCAGGAAAAATTCTGATATGGTCCAGAAAAAAGCCTTTCGCGTCTCGACGCTCTACTGCCTAGATGGATATCCAGAACGAACGGAACTCTCGATATATGCAGATTACGCTGAGTGAATTTTCAAGCTAGGAACTCGGACCAATCCGAATTTCTCGACTTGATTCAAACCCTTGGAATATTCAATTACCCTTTCTCGGTCCTTCAGTCAAATGTGAATCAACCATAGAGTTAATGCAAGACCCTGAACTAAAAGCTGGAGTTTGCTTTTCCCCATGACTTGTACTTTTTTTTTAAAGTTTACCCTTTTCTCGCGAATTCCAATTACAATGCTTGACGAGTCCCGCGTGGAATTCGTACGTAGGTACGTCAAGTACCTGATTCTTGTAGTCTCTGTGATCTCAATGAGAACTAGGCTTAAGAGAGAGAGGGTTAAAAACAAAACAAAAATATAAAAACTGTATTCTAGTATACAACATTCGGACTCAAACCACTTAATCTTATCTCATTGTCAGTAAATTGAGCAACGACGAAAATATCAAAAGATATTGTATCTCGAGAAGCAAAAAATAAAATAGAAGATTTATGAAAAAAAAAATTGTCAAAGACAAAGAAAACCCTTCTCATCAATTACCCCTAAGCGAATACCATTTGCCACTGAATGATGTAGTCGGTTACACTAGTCTTTTGAATTTTGAAACACTATGAATCGCCCTGTATCAAATATACTGTATGGATACATTCTCTATAAAAATATACACATATGTATTTCCTCTATTTTCATATATTTATCCTATTTCCGTTCCACTGACTGCTTCCCTAAAAACACCAATAAAACTCTACACTCCCAGCAGCATGTTTGCTTTGACAGTGTGAGCGTAAAGTTTCGTGAGGCTGGAGCCTTCGACATAGAAACAATATGGTGGCTGGTTTCACCCACAAGATCGCGAACACATCGACTACCAATTGAGTGCACCCTTGATATAATAAAAGTCTCCTCTTACCACCCCTTCCTTTAACGTTGCTCAGTATACCAAAAGAAAATAAATGCAGAGTGCACTCGTGGCTCGATTCTTGATTCCGACTGGTTCATCTTTTTATCTTAAGCGTGCGATTCGAGTGGTACGGTTTTTCCTCTACTACTTTTATGCATAAGATTACATATATACGTCAATATATAAATATATATATATAGACTGCTTATATTTTCATATATAAATATCTCTACCCCATCTCTTTAATCTCAATCTCGTAATTCATCCTTATTGCTAGTCCATGACTCGTTACACTAAATTGGAGTTTGACGAGGAACCTGCGTGTATCTATTAATCCTGAAGAAGGACTCGTAAACTAGATAACGGTTTCCCTATCTCAATTCTACCATTAGGAATGGGAATTAGTCCTTGGTAGAATATATTTGAGGAATCGGTTGCATCCCTTTAAGACCGCCAGTATGTTCGGGGTAATTCCATTAAAAAGAAAAAACCTGAAAATAAAATATAATACAGTCACAGTAGACGATTTGTCATTAGAGTGAAACTCAAATTAGTAATTGATTATCGTTTACCTCGTTTACTGATTTTTTAATATATTTTTTATATTAATTACATCAATTCACTTAGTCATCCGGGGGAATCATCACGAATCCAGTCTCCGTGGAAAAATGGCGTCATCCCTCATTTAAAGACTTGCCAATGAACGATACACTTGAGAACGCGCATCATTATTTACCCCGCCGTTATATTATTTCACCACTACCTTTCTGCTCCCTTTCTTCCCTTGATTCTTCTCCATTCCTTTTACAGTCCCTTCAGCCCCCCCCCCCTTCCTCCCCCCCCC